AAACTTTAAATCGATGATTTCCAAGTTCAAGTAGTGTATCAAGATATAAGTTATATTATCATAGCCATCCATTGTGACACTTTAAGCGTATCATCGTCATTTCATTCAATCTGTCAGTGGCATACTTTCGATAAATTAAGCTTGAATGTATTCTACTTCTTTAAACGTTCAAGGTATTTTGTTCCTTTGATCATTAAGGGTGTGTTTGGTTCACATAATGTAAGATTAGCAGTGTGAATGTAAGATTACTAAGAAATAGGATTACTGGGAATGTTGTATTTTGTGTTTGGCTGGGTTACCAGGAATGTAAGATTATCGTGTTTGGTTAAAGGATTAAAAGATTATTGGAATGTATATTTCAACAAATTGTCCTTATTATATATTTGTTTTTAACAAGTTGGAAAATATTTATATATTTTCTTTAAAAAATTTAAATTTATAAAATTTATATAATTTTTTTACAAAATTAAAAATATAAAAAAATTTAATGAAAGGGTAAAAATTTTATTTTAACTCCTAAACTTAATATAAAATTTTAATTATAGATTTTTTTTATAAATCTAAAATAATTTAATGATAAATTTATAATTTAATCTTCGTAAAATTTTTATTATTTAATGACAAAAGAATGATATTTTTGGGGGAAAATTAAGAACATTTTAGTCCAAAACGATGGTAATCCAATAATACCTAAGGAAAGGGAGATAATGACATTCTTGGTAATATACCCCAAAAAATCCACTATTGTAATCTTACATTACCGAAAAATAGATTCTCGGGCTAACAAAACGGAAGAATATGAATTTCATTCTCATTGGAATCTCACATTCTCCCATCCAAACGCCCCCTAGAGGTTATTATAATTATTTTGAAGCTCGAAGACATTTCTATAATTCCTTTCAATTCGATCATATGCAATTTTTCTAATAATTGGTCAAGCATGTCATTTCAGAGTTATTTTTTTCAACATCCAAGGAAGTCTTGGTCTTTTACAATACAATGACGTTTTCATAAATTTACCCCTTAAGGTTATTTTTGAAAATTTCTTATCCAAATATTCCATGTATTTAACCTTTAAAGAGATTTATCAAAATTAACAGATCTTGAAACTAATTTATTTATTATTGAATTCACTGAACTTATAATTATTTCTGATTGATCTTCCAATTTCTCTTTATCTAGCCATTTGAGTCTTATATCGTGTTATGTCCTTATTCTAATTTACGTCCGAGTCCAATAATAATTAAATACATCTAATTGACCAATTATATCCATCCATGCATTTACCAACTATCAATGTGTTCTATAAAGCATTTAAAAGGTAGTAGAATATTACTCGATTTTTGTGCCATATCGATCAATCATTTAAACTCCATTCGATCGCCCTTGAACTTGAATTCAACATCAAATAATTCATCGGATACAAAGCAACCGAATTTACATCAAAAACTGAACTTAAAAGAGAAACCAATTTGAATCCGAAGATAAAACATTGAAAAATGGCTTACCAGTACGAATTTGGCAAAACGAACTTCGGATTCATACTCAAGATGTCAAAAAACATAAATTATAACTTTTTGAAAATTTTAACTTTTTCGATAAAAGTCAAAATCAACGATTAAACCGTCAAAGTCAACGGTTCAAGTCAGGTCAAACCGATTCGGGCAAGCAAGTCGGGTAGATCGGTTCGGGTCGAGTTAGACCGGTTCAGACCTGTTCTAGAATATTTCCTGGGCAAGTGGCTACTCCCATGCGCACTGTCGGCGCGTGGCAGCGACGGGGGCCGTTGAAGTTGTCCGATTAATCCAAAATCATCCTTACATCCAAAACAACCAATTTAAATCCAAGCCAAGCCAAAATCACGATTGAAAATAACCATAAAAGTGGCCGACTTACCCACAGCAACCGAACGGAGCAACGACGTTGAAGCGACGATCCTTACACAACGAAGTTTTGGTCGGAAACACTTGAGGAACTCGATGGGAAGGGCGATGAGATGAACAATCGCCGAGATCGATCAAAAAATAAAGAAATACACAACGACCGACTTGGGTTTCGACGAAGCTTTATATGTTCGATCATGTCGAACAACGACCGATCTCAGTGAGGGGTAAAGGGGCTTTTGGTCAGGGTGAGGCGACGATTATTTTAGGGGTAACGACATTGACTAAGGTGGTTAGACGTCGACGGAATCGGAGGAAATGAAAGTCGATGAGGGTTAGGGAATTGGGGGAAATTTTAAGGATTTTGGTTCTTACCAATTGGGGGGGAATTAACTGGGTTTATTTTTCACTATGAACAAAAAATGGACAAATTCAGGATTAGGTCCCTGAATTTCTTACACTTCCTAAAACTATCTATAAGTTTTCAGAAACTCATAATTTGACTCCTAATTTGAGGTGTTACAGGTGCCCTACGCTATCTCTAGTCAAATGACTCAACATTTTAAGAATGCATTGGCAATATCTCTCGGCGTTAACAGGTGCAGGGATCATCTTGGTTTAAACCAACAAAATATGACACAGCAATACCACTCAACGTCAGCACTAACATCTAACCTCTTGATCGAGCACTACTCCTCTTAGTCTATTGAAATCCTAACCTTATGTCTAAGGATGGATTAGATCTAGTTACCATCTAAAATCATTGCTTATGTTGATCCTCCTTAGTTTCTCTCAAACACTAAAAATAAGTTAGTTTCTCTCTAACACCAAGAATTTTCCTAAGGAATGACTACTCCAGAGCTCTTACAGCCTTAAGACATTAAGCACCATAAGCAAAATAAATGGAACATAAAGAAAAACAACCATCCATAAAGAAAAAAAAAACTTAAACATCCATAGTGAACTCCCACCAAATAAAACTAAATCATGGTGTAGTTCGAATATTCTAAGCAACAAGGCATGAAGATCATTCATTTCATATAACCCAAATATAATAAGTGATAAAAACAACAAAAGGATAGAGGAAAAGCCTTCGACATGCACCGTCGGATCTTCTCTCGGCCACCACGAACCGCCTTAGCTTGCTAGCTAGCTACTCTCGGATGTCTAGCTCATCACTCCCTCTAACTTGTTAATGGAGTAATGCCACGGAAAAAACGAATCACGAAAAAATGAGGAACTTTTTTTCTTTGAGCCGTCTCTTTACTCTTTTCTCAAAATCAAGTCTCTCAATTTTATGGCCTTAATTCCTATTTATAACGGAGAATAAACATAGGGGTTTGTGTCAAAATTCCCTTAATACCCCAAGTTTGTTCCCTTCACGTGAAGGGTGGTACAAAGGTGGCAGTGGTCCTTTCTTGGGAGGCTGACAGTTAAACGTACGTGCAGACAAAGTCGGCCGACAGAGGTGGCAGTTGTCCCCTCCTAGGTGTCTGGCAATTGAGAACACGTGAAGACAAGGACATTTGGCTCTTTATAGAAATATCTTGTCTTTTTCGCTTCCAAAATGTCGTTCGTGTTGGCATTTGCATTCTGCTTGGCATTCCAAATATGTCATGGCAATTCTCGCTTATCCTTGCTCTCAAATCCTATATATCATCAGACAAAACACATTCCCTATAACGCAATAACGTTTTCAAAATAAAATACCACAGCAAAATATATTTCCACCACATACAACTATATACTCCTAAATGAATCTATATAATCCTATATAAGCTCTTAGGCAGTCAATAACTTAATGGAGTAATACCACCACGAACCGCCTTAGCTTGCTAATTACTCTCGAATGTCTAGCTCACCACTCCCTCTAACTTGTTAATTGAGTAATGCTACGGAAAAAGCAAATGACGAAAAAAGAGTGAACTTTTTTCTTCCAGCCGCCTCCACTCTTTTCTCAAAATCAAGTCGCTCAATTTTGTGGCCTCAGTTCCTATTTATAGTGGAGAATAAATCAAGGGGTTTGTGTTAAAATTCCCTTGATACCCTAAGTTTATTCCCTTCACGTAAGGTGTGGTACAAAGGTGGCAGTGATCCCCTCCTACGAGGCTGGCAGCTAGGCTTACGTGCAAACAAGGTAGACCGACAGAGGTGACAATTATCCCCTCCTAGGTGTTTAGCAACTAAGAACACGTGAAGACAAGGACATTTGGCTCTTTATAGAAATATCTTCTTTTGTGTTTTTAGCTTCCGAAATGCCGTCCAAGTTGGCATTTGCATTTTGCTCAGCATTTCAAATATGTCATGGCAATTCTCCTCGCTTATTCTTGCTCCCAAATCCTACACATCATCAGACAAAACACATTCTCCATAACGCTGTACCGTTTTCAAAATAAAATGCCACGGCAAAACATATTTCCACCACATACAACTATATGCTCCTAAATGCATCTATATGATCCTATATAAGCTCTTAGACAATCAATAACTTAAGTGAAAACTCTCTAAATATGATCTTTTTACAAAATTATCATACATCATTCAATAAAGAGATGTTTTATGAAATAGATTTTTTTTTGCACTATAACCACTAAGTGAAATATATTCAACTAATCTATCAAATCTAGCTCTTTTGATCTTTTATTCAAATGATTTTCTATTTCTATTTCTATCTAATCAATAATGTTTGGAAAGGATGCAGTCTCTGTAGTTCCAATGTAATAATTGAACAGCCAAGCACAAGATAAAATAAAGCAAGCATGAAAAGAGAGAGCAACATCCAGACTAGTCAAGACTGAACTTTCATATTTAACAAAAAAGAAAACTTACTTTTAAAACTGAAACTTCGGTTTTCACTAGCTAGTTTATGTTTCTGGTAGGACGCCATGGTCGATAAATATAACCACAACTTTGTCAAATGTTATCAATTTTATATGAAAGGAAGATTAAAAGAAAATAAGCAGTGATGATGCAGAAGAAGATACCATTATTGTTTATAGAGGCCGTGTTTTGTGATTACAGATGTTATGTGATCATCATTTTGTCTGTTTCCCTTTATCTTATAAGCCTTCAGAAATTGTGGAACTTCTGATGTAATCCAAATCTTCTCTTTGCCAGCATGAGATCAGTAATTATGCGATTCAACAAAGCAAAGGAGGAAAATCAACCGGGGAATCCAACATCTGAAGTCAAGGTATTCTTTGGTACTTAATCTTCAATTTTCTTGAATTTTACCTTTCAGAGCATGATGAACGCATAGTTTTATCATAAGTGAATCTGCATGCTTTTAAGCCTCTACTGGAAAAAGATATATGATTGAAAGGTTAAATAATTTTCCATTTGATGGACCAAACATTTACAAGCATACCTGAAAATGTGACGTGCAAAGTTCTACATGCCCAAGTTTTCACTGAACAAGTAGAGCACCAAATCAGTTTCTCTTTTCCAGGTTTGCAGTGGGTATGAAATACTGAGACAAATGCTTGCAAAGTTTACAAGCAGAGATTAGATTCAGTTCTAGAACCTTTTGCAATCATTGACCAAAAAGTTGGCAGCACCAAAACCTTAAATGATAATAATTGATTTAAATGCACACCATTTAACTCCTCTTGTGAGTGTTGGAATATGTATGACTAATTGCATGCATAATCTTGTGAATGTTCACTTGTTCTCATAGCTAACAGGATTTTAGAAACAGAACCGATAGGATATAAATTGGAAGACATCAAGGAACAGAAAATAGTTCCAGGGACTTCAAATACGAATCAGTTTGACTAACCCATAACTCCAGCACCTTTTCCACAGTAAGGATAGTCGACATAAAAAATTATTTTGGCTCATGCATCTGATCAAACTATAACATAACCTTTCTAAAAATAATATCTGCTTCTGTTCAAGTCTATTTTTAAGATGTTACACAACCTTTTTGATCATTACACCCACCAAAATACTCATTTCTTCAGGGATTGGGACCTTTAATTTATAAAAGATAGGTAGTGTCACCAGCACCATAAACCATAGGAAACAGCTGCCAAAAGGATATAACTGAGTGATTATACTACAGGCACAACTAGCAAAATATTTATGCAACTAATAAAAAAGAACAACTATGATGATGTAGATTTTTTCTACGAGTCTAGGACATACTTTCAGCTGTACAAAAGAGAATATATTTTTTAAAAATAAAGGCTAGATCACACACAGAGAATTGAACAGTTAAAATAGGTCATAATTCTGACCAGTAAGGTGTGTTTTATGTTTATGTTAAGAAGACAAGATTCCAGCTACAAGTTACTGTATGAACTCATCATGAAGAGATTATTTTCGTGTAACGATGGAACAAGACAACACATCTTACATCAATATGAAGCGATAGAATATGAAAAGGAAATTACTGATACTGTCCATATTCATGGCATTCAACCTGCAAATCTTACTAATGTTGCATTTAGCTTCCAGGTTTCTATGTGAACAGATGTTTGATTTTACAACGATAGACAATAGTAAAACCTATTTTATCTTCCCCTCCTGTTCAGATCTCTATACTAACATTCAACAAACAGTTAACCCTACAAAATAGGATAATCCTTACCCCTTTCCCTAGCAACTTCATAATTTTCGTGAGAAGCTATGTCATCTCTTTCATTTTACGTCTCAAAATATGCATAAGCTTTCTCATTCATATCTCCAAATCAACAACATATTCCAAGGGTATAAAATATACAGTGCCATTCCTTGCTTCTAGATCAAATCCAGAGACACATCTATGATATATCTATTTTCACATTCATATCTCTATATCTTTTATCCCTTTACACATTTTACTGGTAATAGACAGATAAAGTTACCGTGGGATTTTAAAAAGTTCTCAGCTTTAACAGCCTAGTTTTACTTGCTAAGTTGCTTGATAAGGATTCAAAAAAATAAATCAAACCTTTGGAGTAAGAGCTAAGTAGCTTATAGTGTGTGTAACTTTGACAAGTACACCAAGGACCCTATAAGTGATTTACCATCCTAAAAATTAAACTATCAAACTCCTGCTTCAACTAAATTCATTAATTTAATTTATAATGCCGCTTCCGCTATAAGATTTTTAAAAAACCATCTAGCAAGAGCCTTGGATCCACATATGTCTGGTTCTTTTGTGAATTACTTAAAACTATAGTCTAATTAAGAGCATTGTCAAGTCTATAAATATGCATGGTTATGGCAATGTGTCATTATTGAAGTTCTTTAACTGCAAATTTCCTACTTTGAGCAATAAAAGCTGTGGGTGTGAATCTTACCATAGTACCAATCTTATTTTCAGTTTTGGCAAAGGGAGGCAGCAGTCCTGAGACAACAACTGCAAAACCTACAAGAAAATCACAGGTATTTTTACTTTTGTACTATATAAATCTATTATAGAAGGCATCAATGGGAAAATAAAATGAGCCAAAAATGCAGAATAAAGAAACCACTTTTACATTGAGCATTATTCAGAACACAACAATTATGCCCATGTCTCGATTCAACATAGGCGGCCTCTTTCATTTCAACCTATAACAAGAATAGCAGAATAACTTTCTCCTTGAACCTGTTATAACTATCTATTCTAACCTTTTATGATGCAACTATGCTTAGGATGTTTTTGTATCTTGGTTCAAATATCTGGAGATCAGATTAAATGAAGCATTCATTCTTCAATTAAGGCAAACACCCAGAGACTAATGGTCGTGGACATAAACTTATGACTGTAAAAGGTTGATTTGATATCTAGCCTTAAAAGCATTAAATGCGTCAAAAGTAAAAATAACCCCAATAACAGAACAGAGAAAAATGGCTCATTTCATCTCATATATATGCCTATGATAAGCTTTTATGTCTAAGAAACAAATCCTATAGACTGAAATATGCTTCTGCACACCAAAACAGGCAAATGATGGGTGAAGAACTTTCTGTATTGACCATAAAAGATTTACAGAATTTGGAGAGCCAATTGGAAATGAGCCTTCATGGTGTCCGTATGAAGAAGGTTGAGATTTCTATTTCCATGCCATTGTCAGTTTTTAAATTCAAAATAGCATACAAATAAAGCAACTCCATGTTGGTAACATTTACCCCACTGCTGTAGGACCAAATTTTAATGCATGAAATTGAAGAACTGACCAGAAAGGTAAACACTGAAATGATAAATCCATCTTCTTACTACCATACTGAATCTAATCAAAGTTCCTAAATTGCATTGTCTCATTGCAGGGGAACCTCATTCATCAAGAAAATGTGAAACTCTGTAAGAAGGTAAACCAAATTCGTCTAGAAAACATGGAATTATATAAGAAGGTATAATTTTGAATGGCTCATAAAAATCTCAATTAGCCTAGAGATTTTAGAAAGACTCAAGACACTAAAGTTTGTCGTCTATGAGATGTTTAAAAACCAACCTCAACAGATAAGTTACCATCCAGGTTTATGGAACGAGGGGTGTGAATGGTACAAACAAGGAATTGTTTCTCACAAATGGTCAAAGCATGGAGGAGGATCCACATGAGCCGGTCCATCTCCAGCTAAGCCAGCCACAGCAACAAAATTATGAAACATCAACAAGAGCTACAAAATTGGGGTAATTTTCCTCCTTATGGTAGATAATTCTGATTCAAACACCACTTACTTTGCCACAAAATGATTTCCAAACTTTTCCATGGTAACTGCCGCAGATTGCAATTGCATTAGCAACAGAAAATGCATCAAAGTGGGACTGGATGTCACTCAATTTCTATCAACAAATAGCTCATGGTTCCAAGTGTTACACTTCCTGTAGTAAGATGTTTTATGTTAAAACCACTGATCGTTCAGCAAAACAACATTGGTTTGAAATGATTAAACAAATGAACATTAGCATAAGTGTGATGATCAAGAAAACCAAGCTAGTTATGTGGAGATAAAGTAAGTGAAATAAATAAAACATATATAATAAAGGAGAAAATTGATAACTATTCCATGAGCAGTTAACTTTTTTTTTTAGTTTTAAAGATATCTGACAATGGAGGCCATAGTTACACTTATCTAAGTTGATTTTAATACGAAAAAATTTAATGTAGTTATGTCATGGAACATATATGACAGAAACAAGGTGCTTCAGAAAGGTATTAATATTTTCATAGATGCAGCTACAAACAATTAATGAACTATAGAAACATCAGCAACAAGATTCACTCAACTCAATGTAATTTTACTGCAAACCAATTTTCAATGATAAACTGATACAATGATCTGCTATTGACAAAGAAAGGTTCATATAACAGTGAGAAAACCAGTTCAGGGTAGAGGGTACCCAATGAAAATACCATAGGTATAATATGTTCCCGATAAAACGTGAATATAAGTTTCTTCAGCATTTAATACATATCATGATTTGTTAATATGAATGATATTAAGAGAGAAAAATAATTAGATGATAGTGAAATCTCAAAATAAGAAAACCATAGGATCATGTTTCTATTTAACTGCTCAAATAGAAGACGAACAAGTATCTTCTACATGACTTGCATTCACATATTCAGCACACATTTACCTGTTAAAATGTTGGGCCTTAAAAGCAACTTCCTGCTGCTTTTAATGTCAGCAAACTGTCCGATCAAAGCACAAAAAAATAGACAGCATATAAGCATACAACATAAAAGATTGAGTTCTTAGAATAAGGGGCAGTGTATTTAACAATGAATCATAAACATATGCTGCAATAACTCCGCCTGTGGAACACTAAGTGCCTATATTTGTGAACACAGCCGGTCCCAAGCCCGGATAAAGGAGGAGGGTTGCAACATGTTGAAAATAAACAATCAAACAATTATGCAATATCAAAATACCTATCATTTGAACAGTAAAATAAATACAAGTATAGCAAGAGCAAAATAAAACTTAAATATGTGCCCTCTAATTAGGTTTAGCTATATTCTAATTTAGATTAAAATCTTTTTTTCTTGCAGTACACATGATGGATACATATCAAACATATACCTTAGAATTCCATTGGGAACATCAAAATTAGATGCAAAGAAATCCAAGCCATTCATCAGGAAACATAACCAATTATAGTAAAAAGACATGCAGTAAATAAAGGGAGGAAAAAGCAAAGCAATAAACTCATACCTATACATCAAAATACAAGAAAAAGAAAAGGAAACATTAATTACTTGCTCATTGCCTCATCACCCTTTCACAAAGGCTTGATGAACCCAAAAACATGAACTGAGACTTCAAGAACTAGTTTTAAAGCAGCAGGAAAATTTTCCAACATATAGACATAAAACTAAAAACCATTTAACAATGACCACTAAACAATAATGAACAATAATTTTGACACAATATTTTTCCTCCCTCCAAAATTCCAACACATTTGATGAGACATGCTCTTTGGTTCTTTGGAGGTAGGGCTAATATAGGGCTTGGAAAGAAAAGTTCAGCATAACTTATGCTTGTTGAAATAATTACAGCTTAAACAATATATTTTGTAGAATAAATTATTTGAAGTCGTGTTCTGCAAGACACCTATACTAAATCAGAGTCACTTGAAGATTTGACATGTTTAATACCCAACACTTGCCTAGAAAGTGCAAAATTTAGCTTTTATCTGCTTAAAGAACAAATTTAATTATCAGGATAGCGTCCATGTTTTGTAAATGAAAGACAGAAGAATTTTTACCATCGATTGAGAATTAGTTGCCCCTCTACAACACAGCAAGAGTAAGTCTCAATCTCAAGCTATAACTCACCTCAATTGTTTTGCTCACTTCCACTCAGTTACAACATATGTGTTTCAAGAAATCTAATGATGCCAAATCACATAAACATGCTTACACATACATATAGAACATACAAAGACATGTTTCATAGCTTTAGCAAGAAAAAAAGTGCATCCCTCCATTAGTCTAGTTCAAATTGTCTAAACTTTTTGAACTCATCAAGTTACTGTTTCCCCATCTCAGAAGACTAAAAGCATTGCTATGTATTAATCATAAATCTGAACTTATATAGGAAATTAACAAGTGCTAAAACATTTAACAGGAACCCTCAAGCATTGGTGAACCTAAATCCACTTCCACCTTCGAGGGTTAGAGTGTTATGTTTGTCCTGTGTTTCTCAGGATCAGGATGTATTGTGTATCTTATGTAATTCTGGTTTATCAATAAAATGAGGTGCTCTTTTCCTCCCTCAATTAGTTTACATCAAATGTAAACTATGAGGGAGGTTCCTAAGGAGTCCTCCTATTCCTATCAAAAAAATAATAATAAATCATTACCAAATCATTAAACTCATAGCCTCTCTCTATATATATAATCTCACTTCGCTTATTTAACCCAAATATACTTTGTTCTCATCCAACAAGACAAAATCCAATCACCTAATTACCATTTGCGTTTGAGATACTGCACATTCTACTGAGGAATTGGCATCAACATTACACATATCCTAATCCTTAATACACAAGCTGAATCTCTGAGTTGTAAATTGTGATCTTGAAGAAGATTATTGCTCTTTGATTTGAAAGGAGGTCAACAATAGCTTGAAATATCTGCAACTTCAAATGAACTAGTATATTAAACATTTTGAAACCTTTTGGACCAAGCCTTCTTGGGAAAAGAATAGGCATGAAAAAATTCAAGAGAAAATTGATTATGAATCCCGCAAAATTCAATTGAGGACTATCTATACACCTGCTAACTGAATTCTGTTGGCGTTGATTGGTATATAAGTAGTTTAAATAAGGATCATAGTCGGACCTTTTACTTATAACAGTTTTATTTTCTTGATCAGAATAATTCAACTCCAATTATATTTAACCATTACTAAAATGTTTAGCAGATTCAAAACAAAAGAGGTGTATACAATACAAATGCCCGCACATCCAATGAAATGCAGTGACAAGTAAAAGGAAAAAAAAAATAGTTATCCTATTTGTTACCTTCTAAAAATAAAATAACAACAAACTTCTATTTTTTAACTTTAATAACAAAATTGTTTCCCAAAAAAAACTTTAATAATAAAATATATATATTAGAATATAGAAGTAAGATGGTTTATTGCCTAAACTGTTGTATGTATATATATATATATATATTATATTATATACTAATATTATACATAGATATCTTCACATAAATATATTTATAAATTTACCAAATAACCATATTGAAATAGTATATAATATATACTTGATAGCATTCTGCTAGTAACTATCCTAGATATTGATAGTCTAAATCCTCTGGAGATACTATCTCTATCTTTACTAGATCAGAACATTGTAGATTAACATAGTTTCTAGCAACTTAATTGGAAGTAGATGAGAAAGGAGGAGACGCAACAACACATCTCCTAGTTGAAAATAGCAAAAACCAGTTAAACTCCAACTGAAGAAATGCCTTTTTAACCTAAATACCGATATCATATCAAATTTATATTGTTAGAAATATGTATCACAAGCAAATTGATATTATCCCATTTCTTCACTTTTGCAAATCATAACTGTAAATACATACCGAACAATTCAAACTGAAATTGAATACCTCAACTTGCTCATATAACTATATCTGGTAGTAACAAAAATTGAAACAAACAAGGGTATATTTCCAATAGTAGTACCAAAGACTTAGTAATTTAAATGATACTGATAAGATTATGTGTAGAAAAAAGCATGAAAGGTTCGGATACGGTACACGGAACACAAGACGGGTTCAATGGAATCATTGACAACGTATTCATATGATTTATCCCGAGTAGGTGCAGCTCCAGCTCTATGTTCCAAAAACCAACACGTCTTTTAAATGTTTAGAAGATCTCATATCCAATAACAATATACTTGTGGTAGCCAGCAAGTTTAACAATTTTAGTGAATTAAAAGTATGCAAAAGTTAAGTTCCACATAGAGGTTTTTTTTCTTTTTTTAAAAAAAATCCTAATAATAATAATTAATAACAAAAATAAAGAATACTAGAGGCTACGGTAACCAATTATCCATCGGTAGTTCCAATGAAGTGAAGAAAACATCTACAGAAACTAACACTAAGAAACTCAATAGCTTTAGCCCCAAAAGGAAAATTGGTCATTTAGCACTGAAACCCACCTTCCTCCTCCTATGCCAAAAAACTTGGAAAATAAAAATAAGTTGGGGTGCAGTTAGGCTTTAGTAAAAAATGAACAACACACACAAAAATACCAATAGAGCTACACATAAAACTTTTGAATACAAAATATTGATACACAGAACAAATCGTGAACCCTATGTAAACAAATAAATTTTCAAAATTTTGACAAGTGTTTAATGACAAGCTATTGTAGGTATTTGAAAATCCAGCATTACAATAAAGACAGCCCTTACCACAATATTTTATGTTTTTTATTGTTCTATTGAAAAAACCATGGATTATACCATGCACATTATAACCCCATAATAATGATGATTCTCCAGCAGAGCATAAAATGTAGTACGATTAGAAAACCAAGTGGCATGTTAACTTGTAAAGAAAAGAAAAGAAAAAAAGAGAAGATAATAACTGTGCGAAAAGGTGTATACCACGACATAGTTTTCGCATCTCAAAGTAGAAGAGGTAATCAAAGATCATTCAGTAATACAAAATGTTGAAATTGAAGCTATAGTGATATAAGCATACAATTGCTTTGTTAGTGACCCAATCAAAACTAAAGGAGGTGAACCGTGCTAACACGATATTAAAAAAATGCAAGATATCATAAACTTTTTTTCTAAAATACATGACATAAGAAGAAGAATAATAAAAATTACCTCGAGGCTAAAAAGCTAAATTGCTATTAATCTAAAAAGCTCTCGCTATTCCCTCGTAAT